CAAGGAAAATATTAGTAGGATACAATCATGACAAGTAAACATATAAAGCCCAACAATGGCGTTATGTTCATATTCTTTAGCAGGGATCACACATCAGAGTCTTAGCAAGAAGCCAGAGGACTCTGACCTTCCTGCTGCAAAGAACACAGGAGCCCCGCCCCCATCTCCATCACAATGCATACAACTGAGTAATGAACACAGTAGCAGTGCATTAGCAACATGCTCGATGGCAGAACATGTATCTTATGCGCTATTGAAGAACTGCCAGTGATGTTAAACCAAGGCTGCAGGTGAGACGTCAACAGATAGGAAGTAGTTCTGCTCACCAGGGGTGTGGGTGACCCTTCTGAGAAGGCATACAATCCCTCTGCGCAAACTAAACTTTGGTGATGCAGAAATAAAGCTACAGACTTTTTAAATGTCTTGCCTAGAAGAAACTTGTTCTACATTTAAACCCATATCAACTGCTGGAAGAATACTGTTTTCAGGGAGAACACTAAAAGACCAGAAGCGTTGTTCATGAATGTGCCAGTATCCTTCAGACAGGAAATGATGGAGGGAGGACAGAGGGAATGAGTCACAGAAGTAGGCGGTGTCGCTTCAGTCTGTGAAGAACTTTGATGGATGGGTCGGGAGGTGGAGGGGTGTGTAGGGAACAAGACTGTAATGAGAGGAAAGGCCTGGGACTCACAGAAACTGCTTTAGATTGACTTCAAAGAAAAGTCTGAGCCTAAAAAATGATGCCTGCAACACATGGGTAAAACAGATAAAGGTGCTTCACAGTTTGGTGATTATGCCTTATCAAACTATGGGGGAGGAAACCATTTTTGAGAAGGCAGGGAAATCTGCAATGGGAAGATTGGTATGAGTGAGAATATGTTGGTGGTTTTTCGATAAGTTTGCCTGAAGTGCGGGTATTTGTATTGAATCTGTCTCTTGAAAATAAGCAATATTGACACAAGAGTCCAGAAAAACGGAAGGAGACACTGATGAAAATGAATATTCTCATTATTTTCTAAATTCCAGTCACAATGAAATGAACTTCGTTTCAATGTCATTTTTGTTCTAATGTCGCTGTGTATTCTGTGCACACTACACAATTCTGTAAATGCAAAACGTCTTACTCTGCTTCACAAAAACGTTCAAATAATAACAATGTAAAAGTGCAATAAAAAGTGTTAAAAAGTGCATTAGTGTATTTAAAAAAAATAAGAGTATGTCATGCTTTGTCCTATAAATGATTGTGTCACAGTGCTGTTGTGTTAGGTCAGTTAAAAACCCAGAGGAGGGGGGACTTCCACACACATTGTTTGTGTATTGTGGATTTGCAGGTATCGCTGTAATCCCAGATATATGGCATGTAAAGCCATTATGAAAGGCCATATGACAACATTGCACAGATTTATCTTAATCAAAAAAAAATGTCAATGGTAAACTAGAAACCTGGACAATAGGACATTTCTGCCATACTGATGACATTAGGTCCAACTTTGGGGGAGGGTGTAGCTAATCTGCCATATTCATAGAGCAAATATGCCAATGTTTGTAGACCAGGTTGCAAGCTAAAGATACAAACTATATTACATGTAAAAGAACAAAACAATGCTATGAAATCCTGCTGAGCAGGCACACACACAGTGACAAACACACAGAGGGGCATCACAAGAGTTTGGTTCAGACCAGCAGTTATGGTTCATTATTGTAAGCTAACTCTGACTAGAAGGGATTCCACTAAAGACCTGCAAATACATTACATTTGAATAAAAAACTTCAAACAAATCGTTTAACTTTTTCTGTGTGTTGCATTTAAAGTGGAACAATGTAATAATTTGTGCACACTGTAACTTAGAATTATGAAAAAAATCAATGAAATACTAGGTATTTTGTCTTCCGTTCACACGAGACCGCTCGACCCGCTGGAGACGCTGTAGTACATATGCCGGGCCTGTAAGTGGCGCTGTACTTTCGCCACAAAATACACCAAAAGCAGCGAAGAAGACCCCCGAGCATGGTTGCCATGGTTGCCCTTCTGTTTATGCCCCGCGTGGATTTAGCAACATGTAGTTCATGTAGTTCTCCATGTCCACTTGTTGCTGATGGTTGTGGTAGAAGAGCTGTAGATGTTGCACTAACATCTGTAGCATGGTCAGACAGTAGCTACTGACCATGCTACAGCAGTGAGCAGCAGAGGTGGGGAGAGGTGGGGCTATGGCTTCATCGTTATCAGGAAATGATCGTATAGGACGTACACACGGAGCCGTTTGGCCCCCAGAGCGTTCCGTTTGCAGATCTATCCACCTTGGGACCCGTTATCGTTTGCGGGGTTCGTTTCCGCGTTTCTGTTACGGCCTCGTGTGAACGAACGGGCTATACGCGAGAGAAAAGTAGCAGATACAACCGTTTGCGTTCTCGTGTAAACAGCACATTTGACTTCATGAAGAATATCCCGACAGCCTCTACAATGTAAACCCCCCACAAAAGCACAAACTCACGATAGATAGAAGGAATTGAACCATCCAACTTCCCCTTAAAGGACTGGTTTCCCTCACATAACGGGTTTGTCCCTCTGAACACCGCCCCTCACACACAAAAACGCACACACACACACAAACACACCTCCACTGAGGTTCTATGTCAGAAAGAAACTGCACAATAGTAACTTAGCCTATATGCAGATATCATGATGCAGTGTCTTTTGGACAAATACGTAGTTATTGACACGTAAGCACACATACCATTTATATTTGCAACGCCCTTTAATTAATGTGCCATTACTGTAGTGCAGTAATTATCGTATTTTAAAGATTTACTGAATTATTTTGTAAATGCGAGTTAAATCACACCTCGCAGAAACACGCGTAGATTCAGTGGATGTTGGATATGAATATTTAAACACGTAATTATGATATTTAGGGCTCTCACTGGCTGTTTGTCTGAAAATGGGGACTCCTAAAATGACCGATAATTCTCTAGTTTGTGTACATATAACCAGTAGAGTGTCGATGTAACACATGAGGGCGGGCAGAGCTGCAGCAGGCCGGCCGGGTGAACTCAGCCCGGGGACAGTCAGCTTCAGACTCCGCTGCGCCATTTTGCTGTCTGACGTGGAGTTACTCCTCTGTGCCTGAATGCACCACGTATTGCGGAACCACTGAGGGCCCCAGCTCGCCCACAGTGGCTCCTTATCACAAAACACACTCATAGTGGTGGCTCTTCAAGGCTATCACAGGTGCGCTACAGCCCTCTCGTCTCCAAACGTGGCGGGCGACCTGCTCCTGCACTTTGACAAGTCACTCCGCGTCCCTGCAGGAAAAAGGCTTTCTGCAGACTCTTCTGCGCCACAGCCATGTTGCAACATTTACTCTTCATGGTCTGACTGTGTGGTGCAAGCGCACACCAACACAGGCCAAAATCTAATATTTTGCCACATTTACGCACAAACACATTAATGCTGGTTGTGTTCAAATGTTCATAAAGCGACATTAAGCCACTAGCATGACATCTACGTCCACTGCCCTTTCTGATCACACACGCACACACATTGGCCATATGGCGGAACATGGAGAAGCGTTGCTGCTCACCTCGTATCTGTGCCAAAGGTTACAACAGTGAATGATGGGCTGGAGGCGAATTCCATAATACTTTTTAAAGCAGGTCAAGTCTGGCTCTCAGCACCGAGCAGCTGATCCACAATGCACACAGTTTACCATTAATAAGCCACAGGTTCGTCTGTCCATTCAAATGCTTTGGAACCATAAATACAAAACTGAATCAGATGTTTTTTATATGCAAAATATAAAACCTCTGTCTTATTTTAAATGTACAGCTGGCATTAAAATACATACAAAATAATAAAAATGTAAATCATAATATTTCACGATATAACAATGTGAACACGTTAAAACTCAACATTCACAGTTATTCATGGTCAATTTAAACAACGTGTGTTAAGAAAATTGAGAAACCGTTTAATAATATTAATTTTTGACATTAACATTTTGGAAAATTAAAAAACGCAAATTTCACAGTGAATTTTACGTGACTCCGCCATAACGAATCATATTCGTTGTTTTAAATAATGACAGATGAAATGTATCGTGTAGGCCTATGTATTTTTGTCGAGATACAGCTCACGATAAAATGATGTGTCCACAATGAATGGGGGACGGGTGGGGGGTCTGCAGCCTGCTGACGCTTATAACTTTATGAAAACAATATATAGCGACATGCATTTACTCAACCAAAACCAGCATTTCCAAATATAGACAAAAGAGCTCCTCAATCTGCCGGCTGATACCGGAAGCTGTCACACACACGCAGCACCAAAAACTCAGGCTTCTACCGTCAAACACACACCCTCCAGAGGAGAAGTACTCCGATATTGTAGGCCTACTACTCCAACTTGAGTAAAAGTAGAAATACCAAAGTGTATGAAAACTCTGTAAAATCACTCATTGTGCAGATTGGTCCATTTCAGGATAATATAGATGATACGTTTTATAATTATTGATCATCAAAGCTGGTAAAGGTGCATATTTTGAATGACTTTGCATAGGCTACTGCAGGGTAGCTTGTGGATTCACTCCAGGTGTAACTAGTCTTATTTAAGAGTTGATCATATTGTTTATAACTAATCTATAGGCCTACCTTCAAAATTATTAAAGCTAGGCTACTAAGTAAATGTAGTGGAGTAAAATCACAATATTTAGGCCTACATTTGAATGGGATAGAAGTGCAAAGTAACATAACATGGACAATACTCAAGTAAAGTACAAGTACCACAAACTTGTAGGCTACTTAAGTACAGTTTGATTAAATGTACTTAGTTAGGCTACTTTACATCATGGTCACTCAGCATAGACACACAGCCCTGAACAAACAGCATGAACACACACCAAGAACCAGAAGTGTCATGGCGGCGGGTCAAAGTAGCACCAAATGAAAATTCACCAGAGTACACATTCTGAAAGAAGGACACATGAAGTTCGAGGGGGGGGTACCTTAGCTTCTTGGGGACGGAGTGCTCCACCTCAAGACGTTTCCCCTGGATCTCCACTTTACCTGAAAGATACAGAAATGTGCAGTTAGAAACACACCACGGCTAGCTACATGCTAACTAAGTAACTGTCCACTGTGGGGGCTGTGACGTACCAGGGTCAGAGCTGAAGGTAGAGCAGCTCAACAGCTGGCTTTGTTCAACGATACAAAGTATTACAAAAAGACAGACAAGAAGCTGAGAGGAAGGTGAGGGCTCCAGAGGGCCCGAGCCTGTCACCTGAGTCCGATAATGAGCTCCTGAGAGCCCGACACATGCACCGTGACAACCGTGGAGCAGGAACTCGCTCTCTATGGGATTCAAAGTAATTTCGGAATATTAAAAGCGAAGTAAAAGAGGAAAGTGAAGAAGAAGAAGCTGACATGACGACTTTCCCCTTCATGTTACATTGTAGGAAATCCTGAAAAATGCAAAGCACGGACACTGAATCCAGCTTCAACCATCACTGTATCCCGCACTGATCATTTAAATATATTTCTACAAGGATAGGCAATAGGCCTATAGATAAACATCTATAGACATATATATTCTATCTTTGTCACAGGGGAGACCCGGCTTAAAGGGGGAGGGAGCAGCGAGGCTCTCAACAGCCTGTTTCGGTCAAATAGCCTACGTCCAGATAGTAAGCACACATGCACACCGAGATACAAACACACACACACACACACACAATTGTAATAATGTGAGTTAAATGCTGGCCTCGGGCTCAGGCCGCACTGTGGAGCTGTACGGTGGGTGACACCAGTGTGTCCCTCCCCCTGCAAAAGTTGAATGGCTCCCCTGGGTGGATAGCTCTCCACACGCCATTAAACCAGCATCAATGAAATCATTTTTGTGGATTTATTTTTATCCGGCATGCTCCCGCAGCAGCCCCGGCGGTGAACCCGGGGCCGCTATACGGTGCACCGGGCGGCTCCACCACTCCCTCTACAATGAATGAATGAAAGTAAAGCTGTGGCTCGGAGGCGGACAGCAGGCCACCTGGACTCACCAGAAAACGTCTCTATCGCCTTCATCGCCCACTGGTCGTCCGGACAGTCCACAAACGCGTAGCCGGTCTTCATTAGGAACTGTCCGGAGTACGGGATCTTGTGCTCGTCGAAGGTTTTCCCCAAGTCCTCGGCAGTCACGCTGTCGCTTAGATTCCCAATGTACAGCTTGTGCATGGTGGCAATTGTTGTTCCAAGTCCCAAAAGCGATTATTAAAAAATAAAGCCCGGAGTAACTCAAATTAAAAGCCGGCTAAAAAAGTTCCTGATTCCGCTAATAACGCAACAAGATGTTGCCACACTGACTGAGAGGAGAAATCACAAAAAATATGTAAAAGAAGATCTAAAAAAGTAGCAAACGAAACGCGTGTTAATACTAACTAGCCTATATAAAGATGCGTTAAAAGTGTAAAAACTGGTAAATCCAGGAGAATTGGAGGTGCAGGCAGCCTGTCTGTCTGTCTCTCTGTCGCACTGTGAGCACTGGCTGTACTGGTGGATGCTGATGGGTCTGTGCTGGAAGAGTGAGGAAAACTATGGCGGGATCCGCTGTGGAAAATGTGTTTCTCTCTCTCTCTCTCTCTCTTCTCAGTATCCCCCTTCAGCCTGCTGCCGGTGGAGGGAGACGCCGCCCCTCACTGATTCACGTTTTTTTTTTTGCGAAGGGGAAACCACGTGGTGTGTTTAGAGTAGGTTATACAGGGGAGGCATCCCCTGCTCATAGGGCATTCACCAGATCAGTGCGCGTGTACATATCCGCGCGCACACAACAAGCCGAGACCCCTAATTCGTTTATGTGCGCGTGCGCGCTCTGTGTTGTACTGTACCACCGCGCGCTGCACCTAGGCTTTACGCAGCACGCGGACACACATGCGCTTTGTGCGCTCGATCTGCTCGTGCGGCAAAGAGTGTGCTGTGGCCTACAGAGAGGACTCTGTAGGCCCCTTTCATTGGCGAATGTGTGAAAGGGGCAGAATGGTCAGTCGGCATGATGTTATGACCTATGGTGAACCTCGGGCTGTGTGGCACGGGGAACAAAAGGTCCAGGGCCCCATTTAGCTCTAGGGGCCGCACGCGCACGGGTTACTGGAACCCGCTGAAAGCCTCTCTCTGACCCAGGGGGCCCTGAGAGCCCCGTCCACCCGCACAAGGTGTCGGATACATGCAGGCTCAGCGAGGCCCAACAGGCGGAGACTCGTGAGCGTCATGTGTGCGGGGCGCAGAGGAAATGACGCTATGGCGCAATTGCTGGGCTATATAGCAGCACGCGCCCTCCAGCATGGATTTCTCAAAATGGAGGCAGTTACTAATGCCCCCCCCCACACACACACATACACACACGCTTTGGTGCCCACCTCCCCTCTCCTGTTGGCTGGGCCTACATCCGGTTCTCAGAGCTCCTCTTCCCGCTGGTGACATCAGCTTCACACGGTGGAGCCAAACTGTTCCTGCCAGCAGCCGACGTGGCACGAGACCTCACAGTACCTGGACCAAAAAAGAACCATTTAACAAATATAGGAAAGAGGTTCTTCAAAATCATAATGTAATGTTCATCTCCATTATGAACGTGGTGTTCTACTATACATGGTTTGGTATTCTCATTCCTGCATTACCTGCACATTACTCTTGCAACATTCTCTTGCATTATTTAATTTCTATTCTGTTATTTCCTGCACAATTTGTATTGTTTTTGTATTTGTTTAATGTCTTATATTTATGTTGCATTGTTGGTGCTGGTGGAGTCTGGGACTTCAGATTCTCATTGCCATGTAGGACCTACTGTGCATATGAGTCGACAATAAAGTCTGTTTAATTGATGGATATGTATTATGCGTAATCCCCCTCTCTCACACACACACACACACACACACACACACAAATACACAAATACACACACACACGCTGGTGAATTCACAGATTTAAATAAAAGGATATTTTGAGGAGCTTTTCTCACAAATGCAACATCTTGTTCATACACTTGAATTATGATTCATATTGGAATCTAAAACCAAGAATCATTTTCTAAGTGTTTGTTTCATTTGTTTGCAAGAATAGGTGTGTTTATCTCCAAACATGTTAGTGTGTGAATGTTATCATTTCCAGATCTCCCTTATGCTCACACATGTTGAGCATTGCATTGATCCTGTGTGCTTTCCAGTGATGCATACACAAGGAATGTTCAATATAACGGCTCAAAATTCCAGAATGCGCAGAAATAAATACAGTAGTTACGCCACAGACCTTTAGTTTCAAACTTGTCTTAACTTTAGGCACTGAGGACTAAACTCACATGATGCTTGAGACCAGAATATTCTCTATCAAGAGCAGAAAGAATTGAGGAAGTCTGAGCAGAAGTCATAGGAAGCTTTCATTCCTATATTCAGGGAAATATGCTGCAGAGGCTAGTGGAGAAAGAAAAGTATTGTCTAAGTGTGGAGGTTGTGAGGGGCCCGACCGACACTTCCTGCTGAAGCCCTGTGAGGGTCCCTGACAGAGCAGCATCTTTTACACTAATTACAATTCATGTATAGTTGTTTCTTTGTGGCGTCTTAAGCATATGCCTGAGTATACTCTGACCTGTAATAGTGCACATTCAAAGAGCTGCAGGTAGTATTCCCATTCTCTACAGATGTAATAGAGAAAGGCTCCTGCATTGAAAATACAACATCATTATTACTAGAAAAATGTACTTTATGCATCAAAAGTGAAAGTTATAGCAATGTCCAACTTTGGCCCCTGTAAGTGTTGCACTGTGAAAGTAATGTATTATTACTAAGGATGAATTTATTTGAATTGTAATTGTCTCGGCTATGTTCATCTCTAACAGTGCATCATGGGTCCTTGTGTAAAGATATCCCTCTGAGATGTAGCAGAAAATGAAGTAGCAGAAAAAAGAATGATCTGTACATACTTTGTCCATCCATCTTCCTGCTCCCCCTAAAAACATTCACTGCAGTCAGCAGAACACCAAACCTGGATTAGTCCGCCGGTTGAAAATAGTCCCCACCTTTTCCTCTTGTTGTTTGACACAACCAAGAGTGACAGACAGACAGGAAGTCAGAAAGTCTCAAAGACAAGCTCACACACCGAGTGTGTCTCCATTTGAAGGCTGCTTAATTCCTTTGTAGGTTGGGTCCTTCGAATTTGGTTGAAATATATTTTGATTTGCAATTATAAATAACAAAACAAATGTCAACAAATAGTCTCTACTCGAAAACAGCAACTTCAGTCATTTGATCTTTCTACATAATCTGTGTTCGTGCAACAACCACCTGTGTATGGTCACTGTAATGCTGAGTCCGAGGAACCCTTCCTTTATTTAGGAAGTGTTTTTGTTTTGTGTCAAGTGATAGAATTAAGGCACTAAATTCACTTGTATAACATATACATCTAATAGAATGCAATGCAAGGCTCTCAGGTATTCTCTATTAACACATGATATTCAATGATTTCATTATTAACCCCTGGACGGATAACAGCACTTGTGTTTCAGCAAGGTCTTTCAAGTGTAAAACTTACTGCCGAAAAGATGTCTTATCTAAGAAGTAGAAACAAGTCATACACTTGGAAGAAAAACATGTTTTTTAGAAAGTCATTGTAGTTAAAAAAAGACATGCTCTTGCAGTGTTTGAAGGAATGTCTCTGTTGTGTTGGCACTATTCTCTTGCACGAGACACAGTTGAGAGAAGTGCACTGCTTTACATCCTTATGACTTCATGCTCTTTATGCCCTAATACCCTGTGCAGATTTCTCTCATGGCCTTGATCTTATTTGTTCGCTCATTTTGAACCGAAACGATTGCTATATATCAGATGCTGAAGAATACTTGTTTGACATTGGCCTAGCCGCCGGGTGTATGGAGATTTATATTTGTAGTGGATGGTGTTAAAGTGTTAGGTGAGGGACTAGCAAAGACAAAAAGCAACATTTGAAGTCATTGTTTCCAAAAACACAAATATTATTTCTCGTGTGATGCTGGTGCTTTGGCCCCAGAATGTCACAGCGCCTTTAGGGAGAAATGTGAAGTCGAATTGAAAGAAACTTTTTGGAACTAAGAGCCCCAAGCGAACCATACGTCCCAACAGCTGCTTGATGCTTTAACTACAAGAGAAAAATACATTCAGATTTCACCTCTGTGATATTTTCAGCTGGCTTTTGGACGGGGCCCCAGGGCCACGGACTGCCATGGGGCCTCCAAGCCTCAGGCTGCACGTGGTGTGTGGCCCACTAGGACGTTAACTGCCCGAGCCCTTAGTGTGCACACCACAAGCTTAACACTATGGCCCCTGGGTGCAGGGTGTGCCTTTGTGCGGCAAACAAACCCAACCTGTCTCTCAACACGGGGCCAGTGTTTAGAGAAGGACCTGACTCGGATGTGTGGGTGAAAAATCATGAGAATAACTTCAGTTGGCAACTGTGACGGAAACCCAAAATATGTATATAATGAAACAAGCACCTGAACTGAGTCCCCTGCTCTTCAGAAGTTGTGTTCAAAGTGTTCATTGTTTCATATTTCATGAATGGGAAGAGGCTCAGCAGGAAGTCACTCTTTGTTCTTCCAAACAGTTCACCCACACCTGCCTCTGTTGGTATGTGCAGTCAGGATTGTTCATGAGACAAATTGGACAGTGTTTTAATCAAGTTGTACTTTAATGAATATTGGAACATTCAATTTTAGTAGCTATTCAACTGAATACCTTTCAAACATCTCTCTAAAATGATCATGTTCCCTCACTTTATCATTTGAGTGCATTGCTTCATTTCTTTTCTTTTTGAAATGATATGATAAAGACCACAAAGCTAGGAAACACGTGTTTTAATGTACGATACTTCTGTAAGTATTCTGATCTGTTGGTAGAAGTCATAATAATCTAGTCCAAGTGAACAAGTATCATCTGACATGTAGCAAGGGCAAAAAAGTTGGCTGATTGAGCCTTTTAGCTATTATAATATTGGATTATACTTACTCATGATGTAATTAATGTTCATTTAAGTAATTTATATAAATAGTTATCAACGCAATAAACCACATTTAATTTTGTCTTCATTTACTTTAAAATCCAACACAAACCAAATAAGAACCAATATATTACAAATATGCAATAACAGCTACAGTACATCATGTGAAATTGGAATTCAGGAGAAAAAAATGTAATAATCAGCTGAATAATAACCTTAAAAAAAAAAATAAGAAAATGAACAATAACAAGAGATTGAGATTTAATAAACAATATTAAGTGTTACCTTGTAGAATGTTTTTTTAAATAGATATGGAAGTAGCATTTTAGGAGGAACAAGTGTAATACTGAAAGGCAGCTAGATTCGTAATTAGTACTTCACATGCAATCAATAGATTAGATAGCCTGCCAAACTCATTTAGCAGAATTAGCCTATCTTATAGTAATTCAGTTGTTCTTTAAGTCTGGCTTTAATATGTTGTTAAAGGCTGAACAGTAAATATAAGAACGGAATTCTCCTTGTCTCCTACTTGTCCGGAACACTACCGCCCCCCACCGGTGTGAAGCGGGGAGCTGAGGGAGGGGAGGCCAAGGCCTGGGCCTTCTGCCGGGAGGCCTGCTGAAATGCATCGTCGTAATGAATGAACGAGTAACACACACTTTTAATTTGAAACGAATGTTTTTAAAAG